TGTAACCCTGTAAATGTGTTTCTAGTAGTTTTCATACTTCGCGACCCAGTCACTAGGATCACTCAAACGTTCGGATCGCTCGATTGATCGGACCGCGCGATGTAAACGATCGGAGAGCGCTCTTGAACTGTAAACTTTCTAAAAGCGCGATCGCGCGATTGGATCGCGACCGGGGGTGTTCCACCGCTTCCCAGTACGTTCTTCAGAAAACGCAAGGCACGCGTGCATAGAAAAGTATAAGAAAAACGGAGCAGAGAACGCGACCAATTGAGTTCTGTTGTTACGGCGATTCAAAGATGGCGGTGCAGCGTCCCCGGTCGCTCGACTTGGTCGCGCGATCGCGAAGTCTGAACGGGCTGTAAGACGTCCTCATTGCATGAACGGTCGCGAAGCAACTGATTCAGTTTCTCAGAAATGACACGGTTTGGCCTCTGAGTTTTCCTCTGTCACAAACTCACAGTAGTATAACCTAACATTTTTAGAAGAATGCTGGACAACTATCGAAGAGGACGAACAGTTGTGCCGGATATCGCTTGCAACAGGCATATTAAATTTGACCGCCTCCATCGCCATGCAGTAGAAGAACTTGGAGCTGATCTTGTTGCCACAGGACACTATGCGAGCACATCATACGGGGACTTTCAGGAAAACCGACAATCAGGATCAGGTTAGTTGGGCTGTGTCGCGAATTCGGAAACAAACTGTAGATCACATCGTGTTGGCAGAGACAGCCCTTCTCTACCGTTCGAAAAGGAGACGCGCGCCGATGAAGAAGGCGCATGGTTTTCTGTCTCCGCCCTTATGGTCAGCATGAGGTGCATCTTTAAGGAGTTAAACTTCTATGTGGAACTGATCCGCTGAAAGATCAGACATACTTCTTGTGCACCTTGAATCAAGAACAACTGAAACGAGCTATGTTTCCGCTTGGATCATTCACGAAAACGGAAGTTCGCCGGATAGCACGGGATCAGAGCCTGGACGAAATCGCTGATAAGCCTGAGGTGATTTCTATGACTGCTATCCAAATTTGTCATGATATGCCGGTATCTATCGTTTTCAGAGTATGGGTATTTGTTTTGTGGGGAAGAGAAAAAATTTCGAGGATTTCATTGACCAGGTTGATCTTTGACAGTTTGATTTTTGATGGTAGCATACAGTCTATGTAAGATCTTATTTAGTATATCGAGCCGTGTCCGGGCGAAATCCTCACCCTGGATGGAAAACATCTTGGTCAACACGAGGGCGTTCACCATTTCACATTAGGAAAACGAATAGCCATACAAGGGTCCCACCTTGGATATTTCGTAGCTCGAATCGACACCGACAACAGGATTGTCTATGCGGTAAGGTGAAGTAAGACATGTGTATTCGTTGCTCGTAACAAAAATAATTTTAAGTGTGAAAGCTCTCATCATCCCTCACTGTACGCGACGGAGTTTTGTGTCTCAGAGCCACAATGGATAAACAGAGACCCACTGGCCGGTAAGCTGATCATTCATGTTTCAGCCGTGTAACAGACTTAGACCACGTACGATAGTCATTCGAGTGCTTAATTAAGGGGAGAGAGTCGCACTGAGGGAAGTCGCATACATGCCCAGAAGGAATCGGGGGAAGCTGGTCAATAAACCTGTTTCACAGTTGTGGTCAAGGCACGTATTACATAGGGTCCTATTTAATGGCTCTAACGGAGGGGAGTGTACTTAGCCCGAGAAGACTTTACCAACTGGTTATTTCCCATTTCACTTGTTTCATCTAGTCCTCTCTGATTGGCGGTACGTCGGAGTACTTGTTTCTGATTTGGAGATAAGACCCCCCCCCTCCCGCTTGATGCTGAAATTTTGAAGAGACTATAAGCGGGTTGCACGGGAGGAGGAAATTTAGAGGAGGAATTCTAAAGGGGGGGGGTCAGTACTCCGCAAGATCATTCCAGTCCCAGTACATGCCCTGTGTGTGGTCACCGCATGTCGCTATTAGAAGATTTCTAGACGCCTGATGCTCACAATGCGCGGATTTCTAGACATCCGAGCATTGTGGGCATCAATTTTTCATGCAGTAGAAGTGCGCATCAAACACTAATCATGGCGGCGGGGCTAGTCCTACCACTTCGTCCTCTTCGTTAACGGCTCCTCCTTCCCATAGCGACTAAAGTAAGGTGTGCATATAAGGGAGGTACCATAGTGGACCAGATCACCATGGTGTAAGTCTTCAGTGGGGTTCTCCTCGGAGCCTGGGTGTGGGAGGGCTGTATTGCATTCACCCAAGCTGCCTTTTACTTTTTACTATATGAAATATAACTTCTTTCAGATGGAGAGGAAACGACACTTGAATGTCGAATTCAGCGAACACATCAACCAATCAGATGCTATGTGAAGCGTTTTGGAAAGAATCTGCTTTCGATTAGACCGGTATTTCCACTGAGAGCTGTAGCTGATGGGCAGGTTAGTGCAACTTCCACTGTTTCTGTAAAGCAATTATTCCAATGTATGGCACTAATAACATTGGGGGGGGGTGCCACATATGTAAGCGCTGGTCAGCAAGTTCAGTAAACTGTTTACATGTGAATACCGGACAGTCTTGTCAACACCCTGTGAGCCTTGTTATCACCATTCAAGCACCATGCAAACTCCTGTGAAACTTGTTTTGAGCTGACGTTCAAATGACGTTAGTACATTTCGACAAGGTTGACAGGAGTTCACAGGACTTGACAGGAATTGACAAGAATGGGAGCGTAAGGCACGTCTAAGAAAAGACGTAAGGAAAGGCAAAGATACATAGTCGCATTGATAAGCGCTTACAGGTGCGGCAATCCCTCGGATATGTGACAAGAGGATCGTAATTCGCCGCGCTGATGAGCGTCGCGTGCGACGTCGCGCCCGCAAATGACGATGGTTCCAGGTCGTAGATGGCGACAACAGGCAATTCAGAACCGAAAATAGTCATGAATGTCTACGATGACGGGGTCTACATGAAGTCCGGCTCCAGTCGACAGGTTAACACGAGTTAAGAAAACGCCGCGCCATCGCCGCGCGCGGCGGAGCGGCAAATACGATTCCTCTTGCCCGTCTCCCCAATCCCTCCCCTCACTCTTCCCCAAGGTTATTAGCGCCTATATAATCTTTATCTGACTGTCGCCGAAGGCTAGCACATTATGTGAGCTCGTGCTCCACACCAACGATGGAACTCGTCCTCGAAAGGAAGAAGGTCAAATTTAGGTCAAGTAAAGATTCCTAATAAAATTTGTTATTGGAGAAATAAAGGAAGAAACACGCTCGGCATATGTCATCAAGCACAGATAGCAAAGCATTTCGGTCTTTTCTGCGGTAGTGCTCGGACGTGAGGGTGAGAGAGACCCCGCGATCTGCAGATTGAGTCAAAATTGTCTGAGCGAGATGAAATAGCAACCAGATGAAAATTTTTGCTATTCATCCCAGTACAACAACATGGAAATTTCTTTCAGCCTGGAAATATGTTCATTCTTCAGGTATGTGTATTCTACGATGGCAGGGAGTGTCTAGGAGGAGGTGAAGTGGAGAACGTTATCTCAACGCTCAAATACTGACGTTTGGCTTTTGGGTTCCAGTTTTTCCGGAGTCGTTTTCCGTTCATTCTAGCATGGACAGTGTGATATCAGTGAGGGAGTCAGCGAAAAAATTACTGTTGTTTCCAAGTCTAAGGTAGATTATGTCGATTAAGAGGTTTCCACTATGTGGCTCAGTCGACACGAAAAATCGCACGGCCCCTCGTCAAGCTGAAGGAGTCATTGAATTGCTAATGTAGTGGATGAGGGTCTACACCTCATTCTGTACTTACTAGGAATAGTGGGCTAAATCACAAGTACTTAGTTGCTCTGAAATATTGTAAAAACATTGTTCATAGTGTGGACCTACTACACAGTTTCTTGTATTAAGACATTGCTGTACAAATACTTGTTTTATTGGAGATTGTATTACATTATCGCTTCGTTGTTGTTGGAACTGATTTATAGTTTGTTAAGTTTGCAACTTATATGAAACACCAAAATAAACTTTGTACAGCGCAAGTTGTTGTCTGAATACACAACCTCTCCTTCCCGATTATGGATGAAAAACGTGACCTTTCGAGACGCAATCATACAAGCAACTTAGTTTATCAAGGTTTTCACAACATATGAAGCTCAGGTGAATGACCTTTACACCAAAAGGTGAGCCCAGCTGGTGCGCACAGATATCGCGCCCCAATCCAACTTTTACATTTTGGCGGGAATTTTTCGAACTCGAATCGTTCGAAAATTTGAATTTCCTTTTGAGCCCCTCCGCGATCCGGTTCACCTTGAATTCCATCCTTATCGGCGACATGTTGTTTACCCAACTCGGTGTTCTTGTTTCATTCATCAGAGGATTTCATGAGAATAACTCCTTTCCTACTTCTCAGTCCCAGATTAGGTGTGCATCACTACATCGTCTGGTGCTTGCTTCATTTTGGGCGTTAAGTCTCTTGCATATATTATTCGACACTGGTTTTAGGATATTTTGTCCTCTTGGATTTGTTTCGTCTTTTGTATCGATCTTGGCAGACTCTTCGCTAGTTCTGAAAAGATCGGATTCGGAAAGCTGGGATGTAAAATGGGAAAGGCACTTTCGAGTACACTTTTTCAGCATCTGAAACTCAGACTCCGAAAATCATAAGCAGAAGCTGTTTGATTGCTCTTCGCTTATAATTATTTGTATATGGCTATATGGCGTGGGTCCAGAATATTTTACTGTCAGTAGGAGGAATGGGTCTTGGTTTATCGCTTCGGAAGTTGACAATCTTTACTTTTTCAAATTGAGCAGGAAACATAAATACTGCTCGCGAGATCTATTTGTTGGACGTTGCCAGTACTTATGGATGTGGTCACGATAATTTTTTAAATATACTGCGGGAACGAGTATGTAGGATTCGTTGAATGCTCTTCACAGTAATTCACTTCTGTGATATTCTCTTTCAGTACTTCCATATAAGCGTTGACTGTCGATTTGACCCTATTTTATATCCTATTCTTTTATTTTCAGAAATGAGCACTGACTCTACTGACGATCACAAATTTGTCTCACCCGTTTCCAGAAACGCCGAGCCAGCTGGCGACAAGGATCAGACTGAAAGCGAGAACGCAGAGGCGAAGGTAAGAGCTCATGTTTCATTTTATTGCCTTTGATTTGTAATAACCTTTTTTAAGGCAGTAGCTGCAGCGAAAAAAGAGACTCCAATAGCTGTCCGCACTCGTCGTCACTTTCAACAGGAGCTTCATATGAGCTCACCGTCAGATGCTCAGCTGTCGCCATGCACGGCTAAATTGTTCGGGAAAGGTGGAAGAAAGGTTTGGTTCATACTAGATTACACCATTTACTGCTCTGAACTGATTTCATAGTATCGAAAATGCGGATGTGGAAAATTGTGGAATCTGTAGAACTTTGACTTTAGACTTTGAACTTAGGAAAATAGCAGAATTCACGCAAAAGGAAAATACGTTTCGGTTGAGTCGAGGAATCCGCAAAAATGATTGCAACGGTTGACAGTCTGATATACCTATCCAGCGTTTATCGCGGATTCTTCAGTTTTCTACATCTGTTGACATACTTTGATTTTCTTAAATTCTCAATTAAATAAATTTTCTGATGTCCCTTCTCTAATTTTACGACTCCTCAGTGTTGCAAGGTGTGACGCAGTACGCAGACAACAACTAGCTGGGAAGTATTTCATATGATGCCCATTTTGCCAGTCTTAGAAATATAAGATCCGGTTAGCGACAGGATCGCGGCACTATAAGATCCGGTTAGCGACAGGATCGCGGCACTCTTGAGCGCGTTCATGCTTCTGATCCAAGCGATCGGAGTGCGAAGATGACCCCGCTCTGAAGTGTTCGCGCCATCCCTTGTTGTCTAGAGTTATTATCAAGAGAGAAGCGCTCCTATTTTCCATTTTTATACC